CCGCGCGTCTTGGGGGGGGGGGGGGGGGGGGGGGTCCCCGCGTCCATGCCCAGGGATGCCCGTGACCGTGCCCCGACGTTTTGAGGGTTCCCCGTGGCCGTGCTCAGAGCGGGCTACAAACGCGCTGGGGGTCAGTGCAGCGAGAGGAGCCCGCGGGGCTCTGCCGAGGCCCACGCTCCGGGATCCCGGCAGGACAGGAGCGCTCCCGTGCCCCCGACCCGCGGGCTCCGTGCCTGTGCCGTGCCGGAGCTCCCCTGTCCGGGGCCGGCCCTCCGCGCTCAATGCCGCCTCTGTTTGCCACTCTGAAAGGCACATTGAGACCCTGCGGGATGGGCCCTGGGATGGCAGCTGGGGATCTTTGCCCCGGGATGGGGGTCTCTGCCCCAGGCTGCTTGGCACGGGGTGAGCACGGGTCCAGTGGTGGCTGCTCCGAGCCCGCAGTGCCCTTGTGCGGGAGTCTGGGGTGCTGCCACGTCCTCTGTGCTGCACCGAGGGGCCACCGAGAGTGGGCACGGCCCAGGGTGGGCTCACGATGCTCAGGTGTGGAGGACACGATGTGAACCTGGGCGGGGATGAGGGGGTCCCGTGTCTGTGAGGCTGGGCAGGTCAGGGTGTGTGTCCCTTGGGCACTGCGCTTCCTGCTCAGGTGTCGGCATCCTGCTGGGGCGGAGCTGCCACGTGTCTGCCAGTGTCCCTGTGTGGCCTGGGGACAAGCTCACGGCTCATCAGTGGGGTCGGTTCTCAGGGCCATGGGAGTTGAGCCAGACTGCCCAGCCACTCTGGAGGCAGCAAGGGTCATCCTTGCCATCCGAGGGGAACCTACTTCCTCCCAGGACTCTCTGGGGATGTGCCCCAGGACACTGTGACAGTGGGCTCGCCTTGAGCCAGGTGCCTCAGCTCGCTGCCTGAGCTGCAGTGACCATGGGACAGACAGAGGTGCCGGGCAGGTCGTGCAATCCGGCCAACACACCGGGGCTCCTGGTCAGGGGGCGCAGAGGGAGCCAGGTGAGAGGGGCTGAGGGTGGTTTCAGCAGCAAACAGCCCCAGGGCATGGTGGCTCTTACCTGCATGAGGTAGGAGCACCTTCTGCTGCAGGAGAGGGGATGGGGCCCCTTGTGGCTGTGTTCTGCTGTCCCCCAAGCTCAGTCAGCACCAAATCCGGCTCTTTGACCTTCTCCCTCACCTCTTCCCACCAGGTTCTCCTCGCCCCCTCTCTGATGCCAGTCCCGCCCTGCCATGAGTCTATGAGCCCCCTCCGGATCAGCGTGGGTGGTCTGCCCGTCCTCGCGTCCATGACCAAGGGTGCTGACCCCCGCTTCCGACTGCGCTGGAGGGCCATCGTGCTGTCCTCAGCCTGCGTGGGGCTTGTGCTGTTGCTCTTCTGCCTGCACCGTTCCTCCCCAGCGCGGCACGGCCCCCCCAGCCCTCGCACCTGGCAGCTCGGCCTGCAGGCAGGAGACCGCTACAATGACACCTACCCGCTGTCCCCACCGCAGAGAAACCCCGAGGGCGTGCGCTACCGCATCGGCGTCATTGCGGACCTGGACACACAGTCCCGGGGCTCCCAGGAGCACACCTGGTTCAGTTACCTGAAGAAGGGCTACCTGGTACTGTCAGACAGCGGGGACAGAGTGACGGTGGAGTGGGACAAGGATGAGAGCATGCTGCAGTCCCACCTGGCTGAGAAGGGCCGGGGCATGGAGCTCTCCGAGCTGGTGGTTTTCAACGGGAAGCTGTACGCGGTGGACGACCGGACAGGGGTGGTCTACCAGATTGAGGGCAACAAGGTGGTGCCCTGGGTCATCCTCCCAGATGGGGACGGCACTGTGGGGAAAGGTGAGCTCCCGTCCTGCCCTGAGAAACCCTAGGCTCTTTTCAGCTTGCTGGAGTGGGGTGCACCTTTCCTGTGACCTCTGAGCCTGGCCAAGACAGGGCAATTCCTGCCAAGAGACCAGCTGACTGCACTGGGGACACTGCCCAGCACCAGGCTCAGGGGTGTAGGGTTTGGGGTATGTGGGACAGTCTGATGGCCACGTGCTGACTGAGCCCCCCTCATGCTGTTCCTTCCACCGTAGGCTTCAAGGCGGAGTGGCTGGCAGTGAAGGATGAGCACCTGTATGTGGGAGGACTGGGCAAGGAGTGGACCACCACAACAGGGGAAGTGGTGAACGAGAACCCCCAGTGGGTGAAGGTCATTGGCTACAAGGGTGACGTGAGCCATGAGAACTGGGTGACAAACTACAATGCGCTGAGGGCTGCAGCGGGGATCCGGCCCCCAGGTATGGAGCACGGCAACTTCCTGCCACCCCATATCCCACATTCTTGATGGCTCCAGAGCCATGCAGTCACCCTCCCCGGGGATAAATGGCACTGGGTGACATTTAAAGGCTGCTGGAGGCCAGAAATCTTCCCTTGTCCTGGTCATTTCCCTCTGCTGCCTGTGCCAGGAGCAGCTGAAGGGTGGCTCAGCTGGCACTGGGCCTGGCAGCTGGGCCCCCAGGCAGAGTGGGGTGTGCTGGATGCCCCTGCCTGGCTCTGGGAGGAACTGGAGGGCGCTGCCAGGCAGTGAGGCAGGAGCAGGCAGAAAAGTTCATAGGGGATGACTCTGCAGGGCTGTGGGGTGTTTCGAAGGGGAAGGGTCCTGCCCCAGAGTGGCTGGTGCCCCTGTGGCCTGTGTGGTCACACTCCACTTCCTGCCGCAGGGTATCTGATCCACGAGTCAGCCTCCTGGAGTGACACGTTGCAGCGCTGGTTCTTCCTGCCGCGCCGCGCCAGCCACGAGCGCTACAGCGAGAAGGCAGACGAGCAGCGAGGCACCAACCTGCTGCTGAGCTCCACCCAGGACTTCGGGGATGTGACGGTGGGGCGTGTGGGCGAGGTGGTTCCCACCCACGGCTTCTCCTCCTTCAAGTTCATCCCGGACACAGACGACCAGATCATCGTGGCGCTAAAATCAGAAGAGGACAATGGCAAGATCTCCAGCTACATCATGGCCTTCACGCTGGACGGGCGCTTCCTCCTGCCCGAGACCAGGATTGGGAGTGTGAAGTACGAGGGCATTGAGTTTATTTAACAGACATCTGGACCGAGTGGAGGTGTGCGGGCAGCCTAGGGATGTGGGCAGGCCCTGCTAGCCTGCTCCTAGCCCGGGGTGCATGGGGGGTGGCAGGCAGCGCTCCCAGCTCTGTCCCTGGCCCTGGGCTCTCCTGTAAAGTGTTGACTGAGCTGCAGCAGGTGTGGTGCAAGTGTTTCGGCAGTGGCACCTGGTGGCAAGGGACTGCCACCACAGGGTGTTCCCGTCCCTGGGACAGTGCCCAGGTCCTGGAATGCTGGCAGGCCCCACTGCAGCCCTTAGTGCCCAGCCCTGAATTGTGACAGAACTGTCTGCGGTGGGTCGGTGGCTCTGGTGACATCCCCACTCTGGGTTTGTAGCTGAGCCCCAGCTCTACAGCTCTGCCCTGTGTGCTGTGGGGCTCCCTGGGTGGAGCGGGATGTGCAGCCAGAGCGGGTCAGACTTGGGGGATTTCATCAGGCTTTTTCTCCAGAAGCTGATCTTCCTTCCCTTTTCCCATCAGCTGGATGAGGTGATGGCTGGGGTGACGGGTTTTCTGTTTCAGAGAAAAGTCTCACACAGGAAGAGACAGTGTCTGTGTCCCTCTGCTCCTGTCACCACAGGGCACGCAGCAGTTCCCTCACCACTGTGGTTCCAGCACAGTGGCTGTGCCTGTGGGGCAGGGGGAGCAAGTGTGGGTGATGGGGCCACCAGCTGTGGCCAGGTGTAAAGTGGGCCCGTCCCAGTGCCATTCCCAGGGCACATCCTCAGAGGTGTGTGTGTGCTGGCTGTGTGTCTTCTCCAAGCCCTGGCTGCACATGGCTCCGGCCCCAGAAATGCCTCCAGCCCCAGAACTGTCAGCTCTGGGAAGAGCTGAGCCCTGGACAGGAACTGCTGGGAGCTGGCGGCAGTGCAGCCATGCTGTGCAAGGCTGCTGTGCTCGGTGCAGGAGCAAAGCCAGGAGCTCCAGTTCCGCTTCCCAGAGCCAGCAGCAGCTGAGAAGCGTTCGCAGCAGCCCGGGGCTTTGGGCAGGGAGCCCTCCCCACGTTCGCCAGCATGTTGTGAAATTGCAGCCGCAGCCTGTGGCCCCCAGGAGGAACTTGTGCGGTTTCAGGAGCCACAAGTGTCAAAGGGACATCTGCTGGCCCCAGGGCCCTCCTGACCCCTCTGACCAAGGGGGCTGCGGCTCCTGGCCTGCCCACACTGACGTGGCTCAGGCTTGCCCTGCCCCAGGTCATAGGGCAGCATATCCTCACGCCAGGACCAGTGTTTGGCTCTGTGGTGTCCCCAGTTTGGTCCCCTTTAACACTGCCCCTAGGGCAGGTCTGCCAGCAAGTAGGCCTTCAGAGAGCTGAAGCTTTGGGGGAGCCCTTGTGCCCCCTGTATCCCTCTGCCATGCCCTGGCACTGCTCTGCTGTGGGGAGCAGCCATGCTGGGGAAGGAGAGAGCCTGTTGGTGCAGCAGTCAGGCTGTGGTTGGGTGGAAGGATCTGCAGAGTGGATGGGGCCCTCCCAAGAACCCAGCCAGGCTGCTCCCCCCATCCCTGTTTACACTGTCAGCACCTCTGTGAGCCATGCAGAACGCAGACGAGGCCAGACATGTGTTTTCATTTAGCCCAGACAATGACTCGGCCAGTGCTGGGCTGCGAGCGGATGCGCTTGTCTCTAGACACGGACCTGTCCCCAGTGCCATGGACAGACCTGGCTTTGGCCTCTGCACGTGGCCACGGGATTGTGCAGCACCTGGCCCAGGGCACCCAGGGTGCATTTGCAGCCCACACTGGGCTCCAGCTGGCCACAGTCCATGACGGCCACTCAACCATCACTTGCACTTTGCTTGGCAATTCCTCTGGCCTCATTCACCCTCCCGGCCTCACTCACCCTCCCAGCCTGGCACTGGCAGCTCCACAGCACCTGCTGTGGCCCCAGGGCTGTCCCAGTGGCCGTCCCTGTTACTTTGTCCCTTCTTGTCCCCTGGGCTGGAACATCCCTGGGCCCCTGCCCTCAGCACTGCGCTGCCCTCGGAGCAGCAGCACCAATGCCTCCGGCAGCCGGACCAGCTGAATTCTGCTGCTGCTGGAGCTTCTGCAGACCCACAGAGACCCACAGTGACCCACAGAGACCCATGAGCCCACAGAGGAGTTGGTGACCTGGGGCCCCATCCCAGGTGTCACCCAGCATCCCAGCGCTGTTGGTGCTGTCACCTCCCACGTGTTCCCTGCAGGCTCAGTCAGGGTTTGGGCCAGGTCCAGCTGCCCAGTTCTGCTGTTTCTTCCCATCCTGGAGACTGAGCACCTCTATTCCTTGCCTCTACTGCGAGTATCCACGGCAGTGCTGTGGCAAGAGGCTGGCTCAGGAGCATATTTGGTGGCCGTGGTGGCTGTCCTGCCAACACGTGCCCATGTCACCTGGCCCAGCTGTGCTCCGAAGCTGTGTCCCTGCCCACTGTGCTGGGACAAGGCACTGCTGCGAGGATGGAGCACTCTCAGCAGCCAGCCAGGCACAGAGTATGGGTACAGTGACAGCAGCAGCATCCTGACACCTCCACAGCGACAACAAGATGTGGATTTGGACTGGGATAGAGTCTGTGTTCTCAATATTAGATGGTGTAGGTCAGTGTTTTGGATTTGTGCTGGGAACGGTGTTGATAACAGGGATGTTTTCATTACTGCTGAGCAGCATTTGCACAGCTTGAGGCCTATTCTGCTCTTCATCCCACCACTGAGAGGCTGGGGGGATACAAGGACTCGGGAGGGGACACGGAACAGCTGACCCAAGGGATATTCCACACCGTATGGAATCATACTTGGCATATAGGGCTGGGGGAAGAAGGAGGAAGGAGGGGACCGTTCAGAGTGATGTCGTTTGTCTTCTCAAGTCACCTTCACGTGCTGGAGCCCAGCTGCCCTGGGGATGGCTGAGCACCTGCCTGCCACGGGGAGGGGTGAAGAAACTCCCTGCTTTGCTTTGCTTTGCTTGTGTGTGGCTTTTGCTTCACCTGTAAAACTGTCTTTATCTCAGCCAGCAGTTTTCTCACTTTCCCCTTCCCAGTTCTCTCACCACCCCGCTGAGAAGAATGAACTAAAGCAGCCGGGGGCTGCCCACCGGGGTTGCATCATGCATCCAGGACAAGGTGGGTTTTTGGAGCTGTGCTCCGGGGCAGGAGCTGCTGCCTAGCGGGGAAGCCCGAGGCCTCGGGCAGGTCGTTGTGGCACGGGACCCGCAGTGGGAGCAGGAAGCAGGCAGGGAGCGCGGCTGTGGGACAAGCTGGGTTGGAGGGGCCGAAGGCGGGGAGGAATTCTGCTGCCTGTCCGGCCATCCGCTGCTCTGCTTGGCGCGGGCGGGGGCAGCTGCGGAGCGGGGGTTTCGGGTCCCTGGGCGGGGTCCGGGGCGGCGGTTCCAGGAGCGGTGGGGCCGGGGGGCGGCCGGGATGCGCCGGGGCGGGGGCGGCCGGTGCCCGCGGCGGGGGCCGCGCCGGGGCGGGGGCAGCGGTCGCGGCGGAGCCGCATCCCGCGGAGGGCGGGCGCAGCCGGGCTGGCCCCGCGCCACGCGGAGGAGGAGCAGCAGATCCCCGGAGCACGTTAAAGAGCGAGGCCGAGCGCGGCGGGGAGGAAGCGAACGGCTCCGTGAAGGCAACGGAGCGGCGGCCGCAGAGCGCCCGCCCCGGCCGGACCCAAGTTCCCGGCGGCGGCTCGGCCGGGCCCGGCGGTGGGTGCGGGATCGGGGCCGGGTGGCCGCGCCCGCAGCCCCGCACCATGCCCGCCGCGCTGCCCAGCCTGCTGGCCTGGCTGGCGGTGTTGCTGCTCGGCAGGGCCCGCCCGGCCGACGCCTGCAGCTGCTCGCCCATCCACCCTCAACAGGCCTTCTGCAACGCCGACGTAGGTGAGCGCCGCGGGGAACCCCGCCCCGAGCCCCCCGAGCCCCCGCCCGGCCCCGCCCGCGCCAACTTCCCGGCGGGGGAAGGAGCGGAAAGTTGGCGCGGGGCGGGCGGGGAGCGGGCAGAGCCCCCCGACCCCCGGCACCTGCCCGCAGCGCCGGCCCGGCCCGGGGGTGTGTCGGCGGGTGCAGATGCGCGGCCGGGCGCGGCGCCTCCGTCCGGGCTGTGCCCGTCCCACCCCGCACCTCCTCCCGCCGTCTCGGGGGGCTCCCGCGCCCAGCGTCGCTCCCGGGGGCGGCTCCGCCGCTGCGAGGGGCGCCCGGAGCGCGGCTCCGCCGGGGCCGGGTCCCCGCCGGCCGCCCCCCGGTAAATGACACGGGAGGGCCCGGCCTCCCCCGACTCTGATGACACCGCGGGGGTACGTGGCAGCGCGGGGCCTGGGCCCGGGGCGTCCGGGACCCTCCAAGCGCCGCTACGGCACCGGCCCGGAGGAGCCCCCGCTCCCGGCAGCTGCCGCCACGGCTCGGTCACCCCTGTCTGCGCCTTATTTCCAGGCATTTCCTTTCCCCCGTCCCACTTTGTTCGGCTTGGATGCTGCTGAAAGGGAGGGCTTGGCAGCGCCGGGATCTGGATTCCTCTTTCTATGAATAATGCCCTTATTAAATTTTAACATATGAACCGAACAGGCCGGCCCCAGTTCCCGGCGCTTTCCTTCGCGGGCCCGTTCCCAGGCTCAGCTGGAGAGGTAACATTCCCAAACACTGAGGCAGCCCAACCTCTGGATGGCCCTGCCCTGTCCCTTGCTCCAGATGCAGGATGTTCCTCACAGGCGTTCCTTCCAGACCCCACTCCCAGCGTCTTTCCGCCGTGAGGGCAACTCCCACAGCACTTGGCTGCTGCCTGGAGTGCCCAACCTCACCACGAGGCGTGTTGGGGACAGGGAGGTTTTAAGACAAAATGGAGCACTGGATTTTTGGAGCTGCTGCTGGAGTTGGTGTCCCTGGCCCACAGGATGCCCCGTGCCTGTTCGGGCAGCGCGGCTGTGGCTTCGCATCACGCTCCTGTCAGGATCAGCTTTCGGGGCACTCGTGACTCACCACCCATCGTGGGGTGCCGGCTCAGCCCTGACTCAGCTGCTGAGTCACTGTCTGTCCTGGCGGCCCTGGCTGTCTGCACCGTCCCCTGGGAGGGCACTGCTGCCTGGCGGAGCTTTGGTCTCCGGCTGCCCCACTGCCCTCAGCAGGTGCCCGTCCTGCAGGCACCTGGAGCCTGTCCTGCCGAGGCAGCGCTGGCACCTTCTGGCTCCCAGCCCAAGCCGCTTGTGCAGCTCGTCTGTATCAAATGTGCCTCGTGTGGGCCTAAGTGAAAACAGCGCTCGGCTTGGGGGCAGAGCGGGTCTCAACCTGGGATGATCCTGTGTTCCCTGGCCTTTTGCTGCTTCTTATCTTCCCCCTGGATGCTCTCTGGAGTCAGGATGCTCCTCAGCCAGTTCCATCCCAGCAGGTGTTGTGTGGAGCCCAGGGAGAACTCAGGCTCCCGGTGCTGCTGGGACCTTGCCCAGCTGCTGGGGCTGGAGGGACCTTTGTCCAGGCTGGACCCTTGACAGAAATGTGGTGCTGTGGGGATGGCTGATGTCCTGCAGTGCTGGGTGGGGGCACCCAAGGTGAATGGGCCCCAAGGCTCATCCTCTACCCTCATAAATGGAGGGTGAGCACAGTGTGAGGCCCTGGCCCTGGGATCTCCTCTCCGTAGCATGGGCCACATCCCCGTGGCCCCTCTGGACTTGCACCTGCCCCTGCACTTGCTCTGCTGTGCAGGGACTGCCACAGCCGAGGGCTGCAATTCCAGGTGGTGCAAGGGCAGGCAGATGCAACTCTGCATTGGGTGGAGGGTGCCTGAGAGGCTGGGGCCGTAGAAGGGCTGGGGTTGTGTCACTGGGGCTGATAACTTAAAGCCTGCCAGCCTGCGTTTGCATGTCCTGGCTCTCGAGATGAGCAGGGGTTTTCTGCAGGGACCAAGGGCTTGGGGCTGCCCCATCTGCCATCCCTCACTGGGGCTGTACGCAGGCAGTGGGGCCTGGGCTGCTCTGCTGCAGGAGATGCTCAGCTGCCCAGTGGTGCCACAGCCAGACCAGGGGCCACAGCAGGAAACCCAGCTTCTGCTCCATCTCCTCGGGAGCAGCGTGGGGACGTGGGCTGTGAGGGGCTGATGCTGAGCCCTTCTAGGCAAAGCCGTGGCTTTGGCCCTGCGAGGCAGCAGTTGATGGGGCAGGGGAGAGCAGGGGCTCGGTGTTGCCTGGGGCGGGGGCAGCTGGGATGCAGCCGCTGACAGCACAGCACTGATCCCAGTCGTCCCAGCGCTCGGTTCCTCGGGACAGGCGGGGTGGGTCTGGGGACTGCCAGCAGCCAGCAGGGACCGGGCAGAGGAGGGGATTTGCGGTGGGAGCCCTCCCTGCGGGGGTGCAGTTGCCTGCAAACCCCGCCGAGCCTGGCGGGGCCGGTGCCCCCCGGTGCGGCTGGCGCAGAGGGGCCGTGGGCTGACGCGGGGGCTGCCGCTGATTGGGCTCCATCCTCTCCCGTCAGCGGCCGGAATGACGCACGCGGCCACGGCAGCGCTCAGCCCGTGGCTCCCGCTCCGGCCGGCGGGCGAGCGGGACCCGGCGCCTCTCGCCGCCCCACGGGCACTGTTGGGCACCACGGAGCCTCCACGGCCTCCGCTTCCTCCCCGCTGCGGGGCTGCCCTGCTCAGCCCGGCTGCCTCCAGCCTCAGCATCCTCAAACCGCTGAGCCGGGGCGCGGCGCCTGTCGCTGCGGCCGCTGGCGTGCGGACAGGCACTGGGATGCCAGCAAGCACCTGGGAAGGGGTTGTTGTCCTTGCGCCGGGCAGGGCTGGGGTGCAGGAATCCCTCCCAGAGTGGTTAGCTGTCTCCCCAGCTCTGCCGGCCTCAAGCAGGGCGCAGTGACCGCGGGGCTGCCCTCACCAAGGGGTCAGGCGCCTGGGCTGGCAGTGCCAGGCAGGCAGCGGGCAGTGCTGGCACTGGCAGCCGGCCCCTCCGCGGCCAGCAGCCCTGGAGAAGGGAGCTTTGTTCCCTGGGCATCCAGCCCAGCAGTGGCCCCTGCTGTCCGTGGGCAGCTGCAGGTGGGTGTGGGCAGGGTGGCTTGGTGGGGTTTGGGGTGGGCTAGCAGAGGAAGGGGCAGCCATTCTGCAAGTCTTGGGACAGAAAGGGGGATCCCATGGCCAAGGGCCCTTGTGCTGCCCTTCTTCCCATGGGGCACAGGCAAGCACAGTGGTGCCCTGAGGTGGGGTAGTCCCACATGGGGCCACAAACCCCAACACTGGCAAGCCCGGAGAGACAACCTGGTGGTTTTGTGCCACTGGGTGACCCTGTGTGTCCCCAGCTTTGCTCCTGGAGCTGCACTGTGGCTCTGGTCCCTCCTGGCTGACCTGTGCCAGCACCCAGCCAGGGGGAGTGGGACAGGGTCCTGGATCCTAGTGTGGGACCCTTCCTCATGGCACTGTGGCACTATAGGACTGATGCTGGTGTCAGAGGGTACCTGCTTACCTTGCAGGGTCTCTCTGTCCCTGGAGGGTCCAGAGTCCTCACTATGGGGAGGCCACAGAGGCAGCCCTGGGCACCTGCACAGATGTCAGCAGTGGGGTGTCCCACTCTGCCAGGGAACCCTCTGCTCCCACAGAGCGCCTTCTTGCTTGGCCTGCCTGGGGAAGGAGCATTTCCAGCATATCCCTGGTCCAACTTGGTAAGCCAGTGCCAACTCTGTGCTTTGCCTGCCATGTGCCTCGGGAGCCAGGGGGTCTGGGCTCCCTGGCTGGTGGTTGCCCATGTCGGCAGCAAGAGTGGTGGGTGACAAGGCCAATGAGGGCATTGGTATTTGGGGAGGTCTGACTACTGGTTCTTGGGCAC